GCCGCCCCCCCCCCCCCCCCCCCCCCCGCCTCTTCAGCCTGGAGGGTCTTGGCTGTTGGGGGGGGGGGCTAGGCTTGTCTCCAACATTCAGGAAAGACCAGTACTTAAACAAAAAAAATTAATCTATGGTGTATGTGTGCGTGGACGGGGGTCGCTTGCTTGTTTCGTTTTGCGCGGAGGCAGATGCCGCGCTGAGCTCTTTCTCTCCCCCCCATCATATCCAAGCCGGGCTCACGATTTCCGGGAAGGGAGGGGACGGGAGGGGAGGGACCGGGCGCCCTGGGAATGGGGTGCCATCCAGCGTCGCTGCTGTCCGATTTCTCTCCGTCTCTTTCTCTCTCTCCCCCCCCTAGTGACACAGGATGAGAGGAGAAGGAGCCCCCCCCTGCGCCCGGAGGAGTGATGCTCATCCGAGAAGTCTTGCTATTCCTCCACTGCTTCTGGCCTTCTTTGCTGCTGCACTGGACCCTCCATCCCATCTGGGGCTTCATGCAGGTAAGGCTTAGGGCCCCCCCCCCCCCGTTTTCGCCTCCTGTCTGCATTCGGTTTGCTCTTCTTCTTCGGAGAGCACAGAAGATGAGAAATAGTTTTCTCCCGTGGAAGTTCTTGCCGTTCTGTTGTCATTCTCGAGAAGCAGGACATACACCTGCCGGCTGAGGCACTAGCAACTTTTGCAATAAGCCGCTTCACTTCTGGAGTAAAACGGGCCGACCCTTTGGACAGGCCAGAAGCGAAGTGAGCAAGTGATCGCCACCAGGGTCAAGTGTTGCTGGTAGAGAGTGTAAAATGTGAACACACCCGGGGTGGGTGGCAGGGATTTGCCTGGTCAAGTGAACATAGCTGCTGCTGCTGCTGCAGTGGTGGCTCGGCTTGAGATGCTCAGTGTAGACAGAGTTTGGAAGGGAGATGTAGTCTCCTGGAAGCAGTGACTGTAGGTTTGGGAAATGGGCCCATTGAGAAAAGAAAACTGCTAGTTTCAATGTATGATCAGTGCTTACGTTCAGGATGGTATGTTCTTATGGTATTGTAGAAATAAGCACTGGAAGGTTTAGGAGGACTGTATGTATCTCGAGATTCGGTGTGGCGTACGGGATAGAGTGTCAGATGAGGATCCTGGGAGACTGGGGTTTGAATCCCTACTTCTAGCGTGGGAGCTCTCTGGGTGACCTGGGGCCTGTCACAAACTCTGAGCCTGACCTATCTCACAGGGTCGTTGTTGTGAGTTGTCAAGTGAGTACCAAAGCTCCTGTTGCCATAGTTATTAGCTGTGACACAAACTATATGTGACAAGGGCAGGCCCGTGTTTTTTTAATGTGCGTCTGCTCAATTCATGTGTAAAGTGGGGTGGGCTGGGGGGCTGGGGGCGGAAAATGTAGTGCAATTTAAAGGGCCAAAGGAGTCATGTGGGGTGGGTGGGAGTGGAACTCTCTTACTTTTTAGTTGTTTCTTCTGGTGCTTTACTTCTTGCTGTGTTTTGGTAATCAGAAGTGAGCCTGTCTTGCAGGGAAAAAACACACACATAAACTTGGGTGTGAACTGCAGGGGGGAGCGTCACAGGTGGAGGGAAGGTCCCCATTGCTGTGCCCCTTTGCTGTGCCCCTTTGCCATCATCTGAATTAATATCCACCACCTTTTATGTGAGCAGAATAAGGCGGATCTGTTTGCAGAGATGCTCTCAAGTGTAATTTAGGGCCTGAGCTCCACAGTCCTTTTGCACTTTTAAAAAATTTATTTGGGCATTGGCACCATTGCTTTTCTCTCTTGAGGACCCAAAGCACCTTGCAACATAATTCTCTGCCCCTCCATTTTATCCTCTCGACAATATTGTGAGGTAGGCTGTGCTGTGAGAGTGCGAGTGGCTAGCCCAAGGTCACCCAGTAACATCCTGTGGGAGAGTGGGGACTTGAACCCAGGTTTACCAGGTCCTAGTCCAGCACTGACCATGTTGGCACTTTGCTACAGTCCCGTGCAGCTGCTTATTTGGAAATCTCGTTTTCTTGGCTTATGTTTTAGAAATATTCCTAGTATAGATAAAAAATCTCTTTTAAAGCAGTTTTTTTTAAAAAAACTAGAATAGAAAAGGCGTTTTGGAAAGTGATTTAGGCCTAAATAACTAGATCTTCCTGCTTTGGGGTGGGTGGGGGAGATTTGCTGTCCAAGTTCCTCCGTGCTTGCCGAGAAATAAGAAATAATATAAAATAATTCCAGTAGTATGTACTGTCAGCTTAGAATGCAGAGCCTTGCTGCTTAAATGAGAACTTGCTACCATAAAGAACCCACTGGAGGGCAGGAGAAGAAGCAATGGGAACAAGGTAGAATAGAGTAGGTTTAGGATGGCTCTCAGGAGGATCCCTTCCATTTCAGCTGTGAAGCGAGGGGCCCAGGGAGCTGCCTTCCCTAGGAGAGATGTTTTCACGGGGATGTTTTTAATCTGGAATGTTTTGCCATTGGAGACTATTGGCTGAAGACGATGCATAGTGTCCTTTTGTGGTCCAGAACAGTCTAGAGCTTTTAAGATTTTCTTGTTCAAACACCATGTGCATTTTAGAGTTTCAAATATTGCACCAGTAAGTCAGAATCCCTCATCTTTAGTTGTTGCTGTTTCCCTGTCAAGCTAGTGACTGTTGAAGATGGCTTTTTCACTTGCCGATCAATATGTTGGATTGAAAACAAACTTCACGTTTTCTTGATAAAAGAGCTTGCATGGTTTTATGTTTTGTATGGGGTGTTGGTGAAGGATTGTCCATGAGTCCGTAGAAGTGTCCTTCTTCTTGTATACTTTGGAGACCTTTGCAATTGCAACACAAATCCTAGCACATGATAGTATTCTACACCTTACAGCTCTACAGTTCTTTTTTCCAAACAGATATTCCATTTATGAGTCAAGAACAGATTAACTCAGTGCCAGCATTCTAGACCCCAGAGACATAACAAACCAACCTGGCACTTTGGGGAGGCAGCATTTTGTGATGCATGAATTAGTACACAGCGAGCAGTGACAGATGTGCGTTTATGATCATTTGGCGTGCTTACTATATGTGTGTGATGTCCCTTCATGTTTCTTGTATTTTGACATGCAAATATGTTTATTAGAGATTTCTCCTTTGCAGAGGATGGTCTTCCAAGTAGAATGTGAGCCACAATATCTGTAGCTGTAGCTGCCCTACTAATGACAATCCAAGTTTGAGCCTTTTCCATTCCATTCCTTTTCCATTTCATTCAAATGGTTAGCAATGTTGAATCCAGCTTTCCCATACAGAACAGGGCATCAGTCTTTTCTAATGCGCTGGCTTCAAAGTCCAAAGACTGTATGTAGGAGAAGCCAGGGCTCTCCAATAGCCTAATATTGTTAGCAATTTGGCACTGTGTATGTTGTTACTATGATTCCACGGGTGGAATCTGCTTCGCCAACTCTCAGACTCTTGATTTGCTGTGCAGTGTCGTAATATATGGAGAACCGGTGATCATTCTGCAGATACATCCAGGGATAATAAATAGCATAGACTAGCAATTGCACTACTATTAAATCTGTCTGACTTCGGTGGTATTTCTGCTGTCTAATGTTGTGCAAGAATCCACCTCCACTAAATAAGGCCGGGTGTCTTCCAATCCAGGCGACTGCAGTCAGTAAAATCCCTAATCAAAATGTACCCTTTTGAGAACTGTGCTTGCTTATAACTTGGGTGTCAAAGGGAGTAATTGATAACCTGAGTACTGTACGTACAAAGGGAAAATGCTGCCCTTTCCCTCTGTGCTAAACTTGGCAGGTTCCACATTTTGTTGTTGATGCTTTCTTGGCTTAACTTTCTTTTGTGCCTCTCGCCTTAAGATCTGCCAGCCATCCAATTGCAAAATCAGGATCTCATTCTGCCGCCTGCCTCGTTCTGGAATCCGGGTGGCTAAACTAGCTTGTGTAATTGAAACTGTGCATGTTTAAAAGCAAATGTAATTATGTGAAAAGAGCTGCGTTTTGAAACCTACACCCTCCAATCAATCAGTCGGTCGCCACAACTTACATAAGCACCCTTTATGCAAGCTTTGTAAGTGATATATATAAAAGTCAATAACACATTAAATTAGATGGTTGAATTGCATCATTTTATAGCACAGGAAACTACATTAATTTGTCAGGAGGCATTATATATTTTCCCTTTGTTCCTCAAAATGTGTAGTATTTACACATGCCTCTAAGTATATAGAAGTTATGCATAACTGTGTTGTAAAGGGTTGTTAATAAGACAGAACATGGGCCTTTTTGTTCATTATACCTTGAGAGAATTTTTTTTGATCTTCCATATACAGGGCTAGCATCAAGCATTATCCAGATGAAAAACAGTTCCCTTTCATAGTTGACTGTGTGTTGCCAACTGGCCTGGAGAAAATGTCCTGCCCCTTTAATAGAGGTTTAATATATGGAAATGGGGAGTTGAAGCTTGTCATGGTGTGGAGATAGATAACATCTCCTGGTAGATAACATCCCATTAAACTCTTGTTAAAGGGACAAGAGATTTTATTCCAGGCTGGTTGGCAACCCTCAGTAGACTTTCAAGACAAACCGCCCTCCTGAGCTAGTTGGCTAAGCAAAGCTAGTTTCTGAATGATTTCAACCTCCGTGCTGTCTTCAAATGAGATATTTGTTTATTTAAAACATTTGTTAGCCATGTTTTTAGCTTTGCAGAAGACGGCTTACAAATATAAATAAAATAACCATTCTCATGTGCCCAACAGGCAAGCTTCTTTGGTTGATGGGACCATCAGGAGGGCCTCTCCCAGTGACCTTAATTCCCTGGCAGGAATGTGTGGGAGAAGGTGGTCCCTCAGACACCCCACTCCCAAGCCATGTAGGGCTTTAGATCTAGTGAAAACCATTTTGCTAAGATCCATGTTACACAAAACTGCCAGATTCTATGTGGGCATGGGAAGGTGGAGCCTAAATATTTTTAAAACAGGGGATTTCAGCAGGGGCGGTTCTGCAGCAGCAACAGAAACAACATCTGCCAAACCTCTCTATTCTAAGCAACTGTTAGAGGGACAGGCACTTTTCTCCTCCTAGCAAGCTCTGTCTATAGTTGTCAGGTCATCACTGGTAGCTAGAAGTATAATCTTGAAAACTATCAGGTAAGTCTTCTGTCTGCTCAGTAATGGGAGTTCCTTGTCTTGAGCTGGGGTGCATCATGAGCAGGTGGTGAGGAGCTACAGCACTTTGCTGGGCAGGTGCTACAGAGGAAGATAGTACACTGATAGGGAGCAGAAAAGGCGAAACCTGACTGTTACTGGCTACAACCAATAATAGCTGGCTATCAAGACCAATATGTGAAAACTCCCTGTCCTTGCTTACCACAAATCCTGATGGTCCCGGGCTTATCAAAGATATGTTGCCATCCTTCTTCTGTTGGATTGACCTATTCCAAAGGGAGGTAAAACAGAAAATTCCACATAATCACAGTGAAGGGCATATTTATTTGGGTATTTATTTATTTGAAATATATCAGGTC